CCCGCCTGCCCCAGGTCTTCACACAGGACCCACACCCCATGCTTGCTCTCACCCCGCCCCTGGTCGTCACACAGGACCCACACTCCACACACACCAGCACCCACACAGCACCCGCCACCATGCCCCCAGGCTAGGGTGCCCGCATCCTCCTGAACACTGAGGGGCATCGAGGTGTGGGCTACTTGAGCAACTCTACTCATGGGACCACACAAGCTATGCATGGGCAAGCCGGGGAAGGAGGCCCCAGGAGGGGCAGTGCTCCCCCCCCCCTTCCTGGGGAATCTCAGCAGACAGGGCCTTAATCTCAGGCAGGAAGCAGGGTCCGGTTACCAGGAGTGGGGGTGGGGGGGAATGCCCAGGGCTTTGAGTAAAGGGAGCCAGGGGAGGAGGGAAGAAAACGCTGAATGGAGAGCTGGCCAGAGGGGCCAACCCCACCTTGGCCAGGCATCCCAGCTCCCCACCCTGAGCTCCTGGAGACACCCCACTCCCTGGCACTGTCAGGCTCTGCCAGCCGGGCTTCCCTCTAAGGTCACCGTTCCTACCCAGCGCCAGCTTGGCTCCTCTCTCCCAGGCCCTCTCTGGCTTCCTGGGAGCTGAGTAGCCTGGTTTGCCCTGTGACCCTCCGGGCAGCTGAGCTGTGTCCCTCTGCTATATGTGTCCAGTCCATGTCTCTCGGGGTCCTCATGTCCTGCCTGTGTTGCGGTGTGTCGTCTTGACAGCCACCTCCCTCTCTAAGACCTCGGCATGCTTGTCCTCATGTGGGTTCAGTGCCTGTGTCTCTCTGGGGTTCAGAGCCCACTTGCGTCTCCATCAGGGCCTCAAGGCCTACCTGGCCCAGTGTGCCGGCTGTGCGTCTTCCCCTCTGTCCAGGCCTGGGCCTCCATTCGTGACTGCGCCTGTTTGCCTCCAGCTTGGGCCCTTTGATGTATCATCCATCTGGTTAACCTTGTGCGGTGGGTGGCGTGAGAGGGGGCAGACCTATGGGGGGCCAGGGCTGTGTGAAAGGGGGTGAGATATGGACACCAGCAGAGGCAGGGGTGGGGTGGGGGAGAGCCGAGGAATGACTCCCATTCCCAGGAGGTACCTGGGCCTAAAGCAAGCTGGACAGTCCAGAAGTGCCAGAGTGAAGCTCAGGCCGGTGAGCGAGGGAGAGGCAGAGAAGTGGGGAGGAACTGCAGCCATGGAAAGGAGTTGTGGGGGTCCCCTCTCCCCTCTGACTTCAGACGGGGTTTCCTTCTCCTGCCTCAGTTTTTGCTCAGTAAAATGGGACACAGACCAGCCTTTATAATCCTGTGAGGGAGCGAGGAGACAGCTGGCATCCCTGAGCCCAAGACAGGAGACTGGCTGCCCCTTTCTGTACTTCCAGGAAGTGGACCAAGTTCCCTTCCAGCACCAAAATCCTGTGTCTTTGACTCAGCGAGGGGCAAGATAGAGGGAGCGATGGAGGTCAGACAGCAGGAAGGACTTCCCCCCATCACAGGAGGCCCGACTCTCCTCCCAGCAGTCCTGGGAGGGGATCGATGGGGACTGGGGGTTCAGCGGCTGGGTCAGTAGACATTGCTCGCAGGCCCTAGGGGAGGGGTCGCGTGGACTGAGAACCAATGCAAAGTGACAGGGGCAATGTTGACACGTGGTAGAGTTGACGGGCCCAGGGGCCTGGGCTTTGGTTTGGGGGTGGGGGTGGACATCTCATCAGATGATTAAAAAATAGGTCAGAGGGAAGAAGCAGCTGCTGGCACTGGGTCCGTGGCAAGACCGGCATGTAGCGGCTGTGGGCCAGCGCTGGTGGGGTTGCAGCGGAGTGTCTGCAGGGGCTGGTGCAGTCGGGGCAGTGGGGTGAGGCTGCAGACCCAGCCAGGTGCCCGCTGCCTCCAGGGCTCTGCCTCATGGGACGCTGGAATTCTACCTGCAGCCCACCTCTGGCCTCCCAGCTGCACCTTCTTCCTCCTCAAAGGCAGCTTCCTCTAACCCCATCCCACCGAAGACCTCAAATTCTGCCCAGAAACACCGAGAGCTTGCCCCACCCGGAAGTCCCGCTCCCTCCCGGCGTGGTCTCCTGCTGGAAGGCAGCTTGCACCTGCTCCACATCTCTGGCCCATCTGAGCACAGTCGCCACCACGCAGCCCCTGGCATCCCACCAGTGCTGCCATGGAGAGCCCCCAAGTAACCCCACTTACCAACAGATCCACCGTCCGTCCTGCGTGGCGTCCACTCTGGTCCTCCAGCTTTGTCTTCAGAGCTCTGAAAACAAGGAAGCTCCTTTTCTTCCTCCTCAACTGCTGTCACGAACCTAGCGGCGGTCTGGGACGGGCATACGCAGGGCAGAGAGAGGAGGCGGGCCGGAGCTGGGCAGCCCAGCGAGCCCCACTGAGCAGGTGGAGGCCGAGTGCTCAGTGTTCGTGCAGAACTCAGCCTGCTGCAGCGGCCCCTCCATCCAGGCCACCTCGGCCACTTGCCCGAGGGAAGATGCTCCGTTGTGTTCCTGCAGCCCCTCAAACTGCAGTTCCAGCACAGTCCCTGCCTTGCCATCCTGAAGCCCAGGAGAGATTAGCACCTGCAGCCTGCAAAGGGACACCGGGGCAACTCTTCCTGCCATGGCCCCATGCCCGTAAACCCCAGCAGGGCAGAGATCTGGGGCCGCCCCCCAGGGCAGAGGGACGAGTCCGGCTCAGCAGAGTGGGCCCCCAGCCTGGGACGCAGGCCCCGCGGCGGGCACCCAGGCCACGATGCCGCCAGAGCGAAGCGGGTCGGCTGGGCCTGCCCTTGAGTTTAACCCCACTCACCAACCTAGACCCAGATCTGCCCTGACATGGACATCTGAGATTTCCCTGGGCGCCTGTTCTCTGCTGCCCGTCCTGCTCAGCAACACAGGACATGTCACAAGGTTGCCCGGCAACCTCCTTCCGCCAAACCCATGGGCACTGGTGCTCTGCGCAGAGTCTTGAGACAGTCCCAGGGACCCCCGTCTCCAGTCACAGGGAGCATGAAGCCGGCAGGGCCGCCCATCCCCACCCCCTCTCCACGCCCACTGCCAGGTCCTTCCAGTCACTGACCCCAGAACCTGACACTGGGGCTGTGGTCAGGTAAGTCTAGCCACTGGCCTAGAAGCTAGGAATCACCATCCTGGGTCTTTGCTTTTCATAGTTAACAGGGGTCACCACCCAGGGCCAGCACCCAGGCAGGGGCTGTGCTCACGCACCCGATGCTCCCGCCACCCTGGACCTGTTGCCGAGCTCTGCCTGTTCTCTCTCCTCTGCTGGCTCCCAGTGAGGCCGGAAGCTCGAGAAATCCAAGTTCTCGATCATCCCGTGCCTGCCGAGCTCTGGCGACACAGAGGACGAGACTCAGGCAAGCAGAGCCTTGCCTTCATTCAGCTTCACGATGCCTGAAGTCAGCTGGGCAGGAGTCGCTGTTTTACAGACAGGGAAACTGAGGTCTGGAGAAATTAAATGCCTCGTCAGGGTCACACAGTCAGTGACCCAATGCTAAGCCCGCCTGCTGGCACCGTGCCCTCCCTGTGACCCCATCTGCAAAGAGGACACCCTATCACTCCTCATTCTGCAGATAGTCAACACTAAGGGGGTGACTCAATTTCCCCAGACTCTCAAATTTTTTTATCTCTATCCCGCTCTCCTTACTAGGTAACCTACCCAGAGTCCACCCTGAGTCCTCCTCCTTCCTCTGGGGAAAGGCGACACCCCACGGCCTCGCCAGGCCACCCAAAGGGCGCTCCCCTGAACTCAGAGGTCATGCTTCTGTCGGGTCCTTCAATACGCCGGGACCCTGCAGATGCAATACGCCATCACCCAGCAAACCACACCCAGTGTATGGGCAGGAGGGGCGGGAAGCAGGCCCGGGAGCTGAGAGGGGCCAGGCTGGGCACAGGCAGGGGAAGAAACCGGGTGCAGACTGGAGGGGCCGAGCGCCCTGGTTTCCAGGGGCCGGGGGTTAAGCTGTGAGGGGCGCCTGCTTGGGACGGGGCGCCGGGCAGCTCTTGGAAACAGGCAAAGGCAGCCACTGGGCAGCTCCCCGCCGGGCAGTGCTGACGCCTGCTGCCCGCTCTGGGCGCCATCACGCCTTCCACTCCGCTCTCCTACCAGACACACTCATTCTCCTCCCGCGTCTCACCCTGGGGCCTGTGAGCCAGAGGCCCGAGGGAGGCCGCAGGCCACCTGCGCCAGCAGCTGCCCCGCCCTCCCGTGCTGCCCAGACTCTGCACCCACACCCCTGCTGCAGAGTCCCGTGGCTGGGGGCGCAGAGGAAGGAGCGAGAGCTCTTGTTCAGCTGCAGCCAGGAGGGTGTCCTTTGACACCTGTTGTGGGAAACTAAGGACCTCATCCTCTGGTGCCGGCTCCTCTCATGCCATCCTTTAACAAGCCCCGAGAACAGTTCCAGAGAGTGTCCCTTCTCTGCCTAGGCTGTAAGTCCTTCCTCGAGTCTAACCCTGATCCGCCTCAGGAAGGGGGCAGAGATGAATCGCAGTTTCTTATAAACCTGGTGTCTTCTTGTTCTCCGATGACAGTACAGCGAGCAAGTCTGTGGTCTGGCTCTGAGTCAGGACCCGGGGCCCGGGCGTCCCCAGTGCCATCTCCCCACCCCACCCCAGACTGGAAAATCAGGCTCATGCCTCTCTGCCCGAGTCAGTGCTTCCCCTGCTTCCCCTCGCGGCCGATCTCGCTTTCCCCTAAAGGGAGGTATTTCCTTGAAGCTGGGAAAAGTCAAGGGGGCAGAGACCTCGCCAGCTGTGGGGAGGCGGCCGGTGGGCACGGGGCATGGGGTGGGGGTGGGGCCACCCTCCTTCCTGTTCCACCCCCTCTGGCTCCCAGTCCTGTTCTTCTAGCTCATCAGATGTGTGCGCTAAAGCATGAGCCTCCTGCGTGCGTGTGTGTGTGCGTGCACACGCGCTCACTGAACACACGGTACGTGGGGGGCTGGTGCGTGGGGGCCTCCTCACCCCCGAGGAGGGCAGGGCGGCAGAGGGGAAGTGCCGTGCCTCTGGTGTTTCCACGAAGGACACACACTTCCCGCGGGTACGTCCTTCATAGGTTCCTTGGCCACATGTGCTCTCTGTCCCCACCCCACCCCAATCACAAGTCTGGTGGCAACCCCTGCCCCCCAACATCCTGGGGCATTAAACAGATTTCCCTGTCCTTAAGTGAAGGAGTCTCCCCCCAGATTGGAGGATTCAGGAATCAGTGAGGATGCCGTTGGCAATTCTCAACTTGGAGAACTAATTCTTCTTCCTCCCAAAAAAGCCCCAGGCTCACGGCAGGGTGGGCCACACAAGGGCCCTCAACCTTTTCTCCTGCTCACAGGCTCAAAGAGGCATGAGGCCCAGTCATGAGGACCTTGCTCCCAGGCCTACACGAGGACAACAGAATTTGGGGAGGGTCTCTGTCCTTGGAGAGGGGGTGTCATGAAGGCCAGAGTCAGCAGTCTGAACTGCTGGACTCACGTGGCCACCCCAACCTGTGTCAGGGTGGGGGGGAGGAGGGGGCTGAAACAGAAAGGAGCTGGAAAGACAGAGAATGAAAGCGGGAGGGAAAGAGAGAAACTGAGACATTGGACAGTCAGATAGAGAGAGAGGGCAGAACTGGGGTTGAAGGTCAGCTGAAAAATCCAAGCCTTTGATCTCAAGAAGAGAACATGGGGCCCTTCCCATGGCCCAGTGGGTTAAAACGCAGCACTAAGAAGCTATCGCAGCCACTGCAGCAAAAGTTCGATCTCCGGCCTGGGGGGTGACCCACATGGCGCAGCAGACCTCTCCTGACCTGCTCACTGCTCCCCTCAGCAGTGTGTGTCAGTCAGTCTGCCTGTTCTGCTCCCCTCTCTGTCTCTGGGGAATCCTCACTCCCCACACCACTAGCCTGGACCCCAGTTTTTGTATGCATAAATAAATTTTTAAAAAAAGAAGCGAACAAAAAGAGAAAAAAAAAAAAAAGAAGTGAACATGGGGGCTGAGTGAGAGGGAGCCTCACTCAGAGACCAGCATGGGCGGGGCCCACCCTCTGCTGCCCAGGCTGGGCTCACCCCTGGACCCCGAGGGAACTGGGAGGACCAGGCAGTGGGATGCTCGAGGGTGGCCGGACAGTTCCTGTATTTTCTGTGGATGTCATGGGGCAAGGGAATAGAGATCTCTCAATATGGACTCACTTACCCTTTACAATAAAAATAGCAAAACTCCCTATAGGACACTTGTCCCCCACATTAATCAACACTGCGATGAGGGGACAGGACCTCCTCCCTTGGCGCTTCCTACCACAGGGACACAGGAGGAGGTCAGAAAAGGGGTCAAGGGGGGGGGTTCTCAGAAGACCCTGAGTTCTCTCTTCCTGACTCCAGGCAGGATAGAGAGGTAGTCCAGGTCCGGAACTGTCCAGAACTGTCCAACTCTGGATGACACTGGCTGGGGGTGTGGGTGGGCTTCCCTCATCTGTACCATCCCCTACCTGGAAGCCCACCACTGGAAGTGACCCCAGACACGGGAGCAGACTGTCTCAGGCCACACAGCCGCTGGTGAGGGAGGAGGGGTGTCTCCAGACTCCCAGCTCCCTTGAGAACTGGAGTTGGGAGAGGCAGGTTGAAGGCGGCTCTTTGGGGGATACAGTGTCCTCATCCTCAGCCCCTCCTCTCCCCTCGCCGTTGGTGAGGCAGGCCAGGGATACTGTCACCCCACCTGGTGACCTCCCACAGCCTGGACCCCTGGATGTGTTGTGACCCTACTATCAGGGAGCTTAGGCCCCAGCAAAAAACTTCCAAATGAAACCATTTTACCTTCTCTCCCTCTGACTCCTCTGAAAAATTGGGGGGCTGGAAGGAGGGGCTTCTAACGCCCTTAGTCATCCTAGGAAGTCAAGCCGAAGAGCAGTGACTGATATGCTTCCAACCACAAGCCAATGTTGTGGTTTCAGTTGTTCTCAGTGGCAGTGCAAGGGCCCTGGGCAAAGGAGGGGGCTGGCTCTCGACCCCCAGCCTGTGCCAGGCGCTGGCAGGGCAGGATAGGGGCACTCAGCCCAGCCAGGCTGGCAGGACTCAGGCTGGGCGCTGAGTCCTTCCAAGGAATCGTGTGTAGCCACCAGGACCCTGGGGCTCCCGGCCTCTCCACGCCTCCCGGCGGCGTTACTGGGTGGGCTGCTGCTCGGGGGTCCAGAGGGCCCCTTTTCTTTGTGTTTTTTCCTTTCCTTTCCCTTTCCCTTGCTGTTCCCTCCCTCCTTGCTCCCTCTCCGTCCTCTTCTTTTCCTCTTGCATACACATGTAGCAGGGATAATTCAGGAGCCCCCCAAATAGCAGGCGCCACTCCCAAACCTCAATCATCCAGACCCGGTCCAACTCCTTTGGCTGTGCCACCGCCGCTCTCCGATCCCCAAAACACACCCCACAATCACCTGCCTGGTAAGCAGGGGAACGATCAGGACTAGCAATATGGAGCACTTCCGCAGGGTGGATTTAGAGGCACCAAGGAATACAGAAAGCCAAAATGTAAGTAGAGAGGCAAGAAGGAAACAAAAGTCCCGGGGCCCAGTCCCTTCACTCTCCAAATGGAAGGGGGAGGCTCTGAGGAGCGAGGCCATCGCTGAAGCACAGTCAGAACACAGAGCTCCCACCTCCCCAGGGCAGGTGCTCCCACCTCCCC